GTGCGCACCTCGCAGGGGTAGCGCGTCCCCATGCGCTGCGCGCATGGCGTACCTCGTGCGCGCGCAGTCCGCATGGCGCAGCGCACCACATTGCGCACTGTACAAATGCGCCGCAAGTATGGTTGAATCTGATTAACGCTCATCCGAGTGCCCAGAAAGTCCCAAGAGCCCGACCCGTCATCGGTCCTCTTCAATTGTAGGTTCTTCGGATAACACTCCTCAAAAAGTGTTTTGATATGTTCCGCTGTCATCTGACCGTGCCTTCGTTCGAGGACAACCAGGCTGACATCGTCCATCAAGCGAATGCCGAACACATCCCTTCCTGTCCTACCCAATGACCGCAGGAACTTGAATTCGGCGTAGGCACATGGAATACAAGCCAGTGGTGGGCTTGTACTCTTCCCCATAGGGATACCCACAACTTGTCTCAGCAGCACCCCGGTAGCTCGGGTGTAGGTGTGTTTCAGTTCGACGCGCACAAAGCATTTAATCAGCTGCAGATCCACAGTACGCCAATGATCATCGCCTGTGGTTCGCCCGAAGGTACTACCCCTTCCTCTTGGGTTAACTCGTAACTGGTTGCGGCCCTTACCGAGATGGTAGTCCACTAACCAGTCAACAACTTCGACAATCTCGTCATGCGGTAGTTTACTAAACATGTCTTTGATGTCGTAAGACATCGCTGACATCTCCGAACGAATGTCGCTGACATCTCCGAACGAATGCCCATCCTTCTCCCAAACCTGTTGTTGATCATGTCCAGCGTCGGAACCAGTGAGGCCACAGACTTAAGATTAAAATGCCAATCTCGCGGGAGATTGTACAACAAGTCATTAAGTGCCTTAGCTACAATCCTACAACCTCTGGTTGTAGGCTCTGAGTAAGTAGGACAGATCGGACGAAAGCGAGTGAGGTCCTTATGTTTTGGCATAACATAAGCCTCGCCAAGCTTTCCCTTCTTGTCCCATTGCGCCAACTCCATAAGTCCTGCTTTGCACAGATCAACTCTCATTGACTCCATGACCATCGTCTCCTGTTTATCTGACACGACATACCCCGTGCTTGCTACGAAAAGCTCCAGCATGGCCTCGTAGTACACCTTTGTGCAGAGCACCAGGGTATCGCCCGGGTTACGGTCCAAGGGTGTAATCACCAGCCCATACAGTCTCCTCATCAGACAGTGCACTTCCCGCATGTCCAAACACTTAGTGCTGGCGTCCTGAGCACCAGTCAAACACGCTTCCACATCACCTCTTCCAATCACGGGCTTAGGGCCTCTCCAATTGACCCAGCCTTCCAAACCCGCAGTAATCTCTTGCCTCAACAAATTTCCACGATCCGGCTGTGAGAGTTTTGGAACGTTGTTGGCATTACAAAGTAGAGGGTGGATGCCTTCTTGCTCATGAAGACGAAAACGCACGTGACCACCTATCCGAGGATAGGGAAATCCTGCACATTAGCAGGTTGCAACTTCAGCTCGGGCATAGCCTCGCTGGTTGTGTATCAGGTTTGCCACGGACGGGTTCTTCACCCATACAATGCGCACACCTTTACGCGCGTGATTCTTCAAACAAGCGGGAATCTCCATCTCCTCAAGTTTGTCATTAACAAGCTTCCTCACCTCTACCATCCGAATCCTATCGTCAAACTTCATCTTCACCGTGATTTTTGAGTTCAAAACCCAACCATAGCTGTCCTTGATAGCTCTACCAATCATCCGCCTAAGATAAGCCGTCGTGGCCACTTTCTGAAAAAAAATCTTCGGCTGCACCCGTCAGCCTAATCAGAACATCGAGATTACAGTGCCGCAAGGTCTCTACCCGATTCTTATTCCGTAGGATAGAGATAAGAAAATCCTTATCCTTATTAATCTTGGGTTTCCACCTTCGTAGGTGGAGAACCTCAATCTCGGTGCCCTTCTCCATGTCGCGCTTGCCCATGTACAACTTACAACGCCGGTCGTTAATCTTCACGTCAGACTTACCAAAGCTTGCTCTGATCGACTTCCATCCGCCACACCAACAGCAACCTTCCTTGAAGTGTAAGCTGAACTTTCTATTCCCCACCATCTCCTGCGCTTCCAGGACTTGAAAGCAATTAACACTCCAATTGTCCATATTGATCGTCTTAACTCTCACCGGTAGAACTGATTCCGAGCTCCGAGTAGCACAATACTGTGCTAGCGTCCTGCTCCTCTCGCGACGCCCTTTTCTCCTGCGTCCGCCTCCTTGCTTCACCTTAGTCTTCCCAGTGGAATTCAAAGCCGGGCTCCACTTCCGAATATACGTCTCCTCCATGACAATCAGTTCGGATCGCGAACACCGGTCTATAGGTATCAAGACGTAAGACTCAATCCCGAAAGTCCTCCACCATCTGTACAAATGGTTTTTCTTGCGGGCACAATTACATACAGAGACATGCTCCTTCCATCTTGTCTTACCCTCCCTACCCGTCTGCCCAACGTATTGAGCCCGACACAGCGGAGAGGTAAGAACGTACACGCAATCACTAACCATCATGAAGCAGCCGATTCCATAACGCTTGTACAGCTCAACCCAGGGCACAGCACACTTCCGCAACCAACGGATTTGGTCGGTCAACGCTAGAGTAACTAACACTAACCTATACAATACCTCAACGGTATCATCATGAATGTTCTCCCGTCAAAACTCAATCAAACAGCCGCACAGAACCCAGAGTTTCCAAACTGTTCGTGCATCGCTCTCAGCATCCTCGTCACCATCCTCTCCAACCTTATCCAGTGGATTATCCCCAATAACCTCCTCCGATCCCTTCGTCTCCTCGTACCCATATGCGACTAGAGTACGTTTCTCGGCAATACCAAGAATAGCTTGCATTTTTCTCCCTTCGTATTCCACGCCTTCAGCCATACAAACCCTCTTCAATTCTTCGACTGTCATATCCCCCAACTCCCTCAGGTTATCTGTAACAAATTTCAGCTTACCCATGGTCCCCGGGGCCGCCGGGATCTTCCTCTTGCTTGACCTAGGGGTCTTCCGCAGGGTCTTCCGTGGAGGGGTCTTTGTAATCGGTGGGTGGCGACACCCCAACTGCAGACGTCGTTTTGTCGTACGCTTGGCCGGTGTTTCCATCGGCGGGCTATCCCCCACCGGTTTCTCCGCGCTTCGTTTTCTCTTCTCCGAAATGACCAGCTGCTCTGTCCTACGGCTGAGAGATTCTACTTCACTCTCGTGTGAATCAGCATTGTCCTCATCCGAAGACGAGGCCAGCACCTTCTGCTTCCCCTTAGCACGCTCCTTCAGGTCTCTTTCGTAACGGCGCTGAAGTGACTCGTCCAGTTGCCCCATTCTGACAGACATTTCCATTAGCATCTCCTTCCTCAACAGCTGACGGTCTTCCTCCTCCTCCTTCAGCTTTTCTTCCTTTCTCGCCAGCCGCCTTTGTTCAGCTGCCCATTTCTCTCCCGCCGCTTTAGCTTCCTCCTCCTCCCTCTTTTTTCGCTCGAGCTTCTCAGTCTTCCGCTTAATCTTCTCTTCCTTAGCTTTTTTCTCCGCGTCAAGAACCTCTTTCATGGTTGCCATAGTCACCGCCAATTCCTCAATTTGACGTTTAACTGCAGGATCTTCTGAGGCAGCTCTCGGCTCCTGTTGCCGTGCCTGCGACCTTGGGGATAGCGACCTCCTGCGTTGACCAGTGTATCTTGGACCTCCGTCTCTACTCAGCTTCGGACAATGATTTCTATAATGACCAGGCTCCCCGCATTCCCTGGAGTGAATCGCTGAGGAGCTTCTCTTTGGCCCATGTAGCTGGTGCTCCCTCGTTCAATGGAGCGCTCCCTGCGTCCATCCCTCTGCTGATCGCGACCTCCGTCGCTACCTCCCAGATACCGTCCTCGATCGTTGCCCCATTCGTGACGGTCATCCCGTCCATACTCCCGATGGTTAGATCCCATATCGGCAAAACCGATATGCTCCCACTCCTTGACAACAAAAACGCTCAGCTTGCGTCTGTCCCAAACTCAGCAGAACATACCAAAATCGTCAGCCCTTTCGTTACATCGGCCAAATCCGACAAAACTTCGACAGGCACCTCCTGTGTCCTCCTCACAACCTCTTCAATACTTCGCACAACGTAGAAAGTCACCGACTCCAAAACGTGCTCACGCTCACTCGGCGTCTTCCAAGCGGGCTCACACGGGCCTTCAGTAGATTCCTGAAAAGGTGAGATAAACATAAGTAAATCAACACAGTATCAGCGACACAGTATCAAAAAACTCATGTATATTCACGTACAGAGTACATAAGCACACATGTACAAGTGATTGCATGCCGGTGGGGATATGGCTCCCCGACCGGTTTCGACCGCAGCCACGCGGTCATCTTCAGGGGGTTTCCACCATACGTCACCCTTTACTCAACTTCTTCCTTCCACTAACCCACCTCCGCCTTTGACCAACTGACCATCTCYGGAAAYGATCAGTTGCYGTATGCGTCGGACCTGAAAAAGACCCGATGYCACGCAATCATGCCTATTATAGTTCGCACACGCGTCTCATCCTAAAATTCTAAGCTACACTCACAGCCGACCCCAGGCCKGTCTSCAAATCCAAACCCGGTAGGTGTTCGATCAAGTAACCTGACAACAACAGACAACGTCAGAACTACCWAAAACACAGAGGTACCTGGATCRAATCCCTTTTTTACTTCACGACRCCTTRCTAAAACACCCAGAAAACACACTAACAGCTGCAAGGGTACCTGGTTCGAATCCCTAAGCTAACCCGACCACCGTCGAAAGCCAAAAAAACAAAGCTAAAAAACAAAGCTAAAAAACTGGAGCCCAGTCAGTTAAAGTAACAGGGATACCGCGTTTGAACCCCGTCTACCTTCAAAGGCCAACACTGTCCTATCGGAATGATTTCCAATGCTAGCAAAGGTACTGTACTCGTTACCTGTACATTTAAAGCACAATCCCCTTGTTCGATCCCTGTCCACTTAAAGCACACTCACCATGTTCTGTCCGTCCACATAAAGCAGATCCCTTTCCTACGAATTTTTTTTTTCCTTAAGCAGCTAAGCTCCAATGCCACAACTGTAATCCCTCCCTCGTCCGAAAACCAATCCAAGCCCAGGTGACCTGGTCATGGCAAAAAAAAAAAAAAAAAAAAAAAAAAATGGCGGTGGTTTTTTTCCGCCCTCTCCGAGAGGAGCCTAAATCCGGGCTCTCTTTTTTTTTTTTTGAGTGTTAGCTGTCAAGGTGGGGAAAGGGGAGCGTAAATGAATTTTAAAGGGGCTAAGGGGGTTTAAAGGGGGGTGCCGTAGTGTGATATGGTTATTTTCTTTTTAATCTTTAGTTCTGTGAGGAATTCTGATGTGACCCTCAGCCAAAAGTTGTTTGTATTGCAATTCTACACAACATAATTGTTTTTCAGATTTTTTTGGATTTGTTTTGTTTTTTTTGTTTTTTTTGCGCGCGCTGAGGCTCCCGGGGGTCATGCCCGGCCGGTCACCCAGTCGCCAATCCGGGCGTGACATTGGGACCCGGGCGCCTGGGATATCTCCCTAGCTTTCTGTATGTCTTGCTCTGTTGCATGTGAAGCTGCAACAGCTGCTGGATTATGGACTTACTTGCACTTGCATTGAACTCTCTTGCAGCTTCAGAAAGTGTCCATTTCGCTGATCATTCCATCATGTGGGCATAGTGTGTTCGTTTGCTCTTTGAAGTTGTATAAGTGGTAGATTGCTGGCAATGCCATGATGTCAATGGACATTCTTTTTCTGTATTATTGTTTCATGGATTGGGTTTCTTTGGGCGATATAAAGAGTTCCCTATTGTCGATTCAACTCGATTCTTTTGCTTTCACTTTCTGTGGCAGGTTTTGGTAAAGGTGCCTGAGGACCGTCCAAGTGTTGTGGAATTGCTGCAGCATCCATGGATTCTGCAGCAGATCGTCAGCGACGACGGTAGCGATGTGAGTGTAGTACAAGAGGAGGATGCATTGCAACTGCCTCGTTGCGTAGCATCGAGTAGTGTAGGTAGTGTACAGCTCCACTCTGGGGATTGGCCTCCGGGTAAAGAAGAGCTGGTGGAGTGCGAGATGCGAAGGCGGGGCAAGAGTGATAGCTTCATTTTCAGTGGACATAAAGGCTATGCGAAGGAGGAGAAAAGGGATTCTGAGCTCTCACCTCTAGAGAAACCCCTCTGGCCATCGGCCAGAACTAGTGCTGCCGAAATAGTAAGGCAGAATGTTTTCAACCAGGGAACACCTTGGGGCAAGGCCGTTGCAGCAATGGCAGCTGGCGGGCTCAACTTTTTAAATGAGCATCTGCTTTCTGTGGAACGTGCAGAATTGATTGACATTGTTGACGACGTTAGCTTGGATTCGTCTGAAGATTTGATTTATCTTAGTAGCAGCAGTGACCCAGGACTCTTTCTGCAGGAGGAAGGAAAAGTGTCAGTAGCCGTGGATACAGGGAGGGAGGGTGAGGGCATGGGTGAGAGTTGCTGCTGGGAGGATGAGGAAAGTGTGTACTATGATGCGTCTGCCGACACCCTCCACTCCGAAGGTGTCGACACGGCACTGGACAGCTTATCCCTCCTTTCAGAAGGTGCTTGTGACGAGTGCGTGACCGATGAAAGGGAAGAAACCTATCAGGGTCAGCTCAGCAGCAGCGGCCCGAAGGATCCATGGTCCTCATTAGCGAGGATATGGAGGCCCTGCAGATGAACTGATGATGAAGGCCATCTGATGAAGGCCATCTGAAGTTGCACATTATTTTAAGAATCGGTTGGATGTATGCCCATTTTTGTGGGGCACTACGCCTTCGTTTCCCCCCCTTTCACCCGAGGCAGCAGCTGTTGTAGTGGAGCCGGGAAAGCACAGAAATCGGAGCAGCAAACACCACTGGTACTGGGACTTAGTATGCGGGTTTGGTGAGCAATTATGGCAGGGAAGGTAGGTAGGTCTCCAGGTGTTATATATTCATTGGGCTACCTTTCGGGGTCTTCTATTGTTTTGAGTCTAGGTAGTGGTGTGAGGTCCTTTTTGCCCTCCAGCTTTGGTTCATTAGGCTGACAGACAGTTTTGGCTTCGCGGGAGCAGACAGGGTATGGGAGAGTCATGGACTCGGAAGTCCATGCGGTATTCTGTATTTCCTTTGCCGACATATGATCGATGGTTTCTCTTGTCCATCCATCAATCTTAGGGGTATGTATATTGAGAGCCCTAGGGCAACGGAAAGGAGACCATCGTGCAAGTGAAACTGGGGGGTGGTGGAAGTTTCAAAACGGCATGGTTTCCCGATTCCTGGGTCCTTTGCGGGTGAGGCAATCATTTGCTAGACAAGTACTCTTGCCCGCCTCCCTGTGTCAATTCGGGTGCAGCACATATGGGACTCAGGATGTTGTGTGAAGGCTGGAGCTTGCTGGGATCATGTGACTCTGAAGATGGGCTGAGAATCATGTCTATTGGCCCGATGGAGTTAGCTGCTTTGTGTGTGTACACACGTGGAGCACCACGGCCCAGCGTTGGCTCGAACTTGGGGTTTGCGAAGAGTGAAGGTGGGGTGTGTGCACGTGTGTCCCCAGGGCTGATGCCTAATCGAGGAAGCATTTTCAGAATCTCTAGCGAAGGTACCCTCAAAGCATTGCTGTGAGAATTTGCTCTGCTTGCCCAAGCAGGTCATGTGCACAGGATGCATGGAATCTGTTCAGATGCACAGAATCTGTCCAGATGGGGATTTGTTGGCAGGCAAATGAGGAAGGACGCAAGGGAGAAAGAGAGGCTGGGAATTGCTAGTAGGGTGAGAGGAGGTCGAGGTCTGTTCAAGTTTCTCCCGTTCGTTGTTGATATGATTCTAGACTATGTTTTTTCTGTTGGATGGCGTTTATGTGTAGCCTGGCAATATTCACAAGAAAGGGTCCGTTCTGTCTGTGCAATTGAAAATCAGCAGCGCATTATACATCATTATGCTGGCAGTTATTGCTGAGGCTACTTTTGTTACGTTACACACATAGCAGAGATGGGGGGGCAGGAACTGCAGGAGGGGCTGAGCACAGGTGTAAACGGCTGTCATGTTGCATCTGGTCTTTGAATGCGCTGCATACAGAGGCTGGATGGGCTGTTCAGTGATTTGTCATGATGGAAGTTTCATGGATTGGGGGGTAGAGTGATCGGCAGCCAGGATGGAAGGGACATGATCTTTGCTGCCGCCATGGTAAGTGCGAGTGAGAAGCATTCTCCTGTCTCTGAGCCTACACAGTGACATAATGTGACGGCATTTCAAGGACCGGGTAGAGTGATGGGCAGCCAAAGGGAACTGGACAATTTTTTGCTGCTGCCACTGCCTTTGGCAGACCGGTTAGGGTGGCCGGAGAAATATTATATATGGTAAGTGCGAGTGAGAAGCATTCTCCTGTCTYTGAGCCTACACAGTGACATAATGTGATGGCATTTCAAGGACCGGGTAGAGTGATGGGCAGCCAAAGGGAACTGGACAAATTTTTGCTGCTGCCACTGTCTTTGGCAGACCGGTTAGGGTGGCCGGAGAAATATTATTCTGTCGCTGAGCGGTGTGTTCATGGTAATGCAAGGTGCTGACCACGTTTGCAGGGAGGCTGGGGGAACGAGAGAGAGAATGAATATGTTAGAATGCGATGAGCTGCGTCGGGCTAGCACTTGAAGCCCTCTGAGTAGTCTACCCATGTCTGCAGAGACTTGTGGGGGAAAGCGGTGAGGAGGCCTTCTAGAGGTTGTGGTCCTCTATGACACTTGCCCACTAGACAGATACGAGTTTCCTATATGAGAAGGAAGGTTCCAGGGATCTAACTAACTTCTTGGCGAGATGGCACGTTGTTGAATTGGAAAGGTTAGTAAGGACACAAGAACAGAAAGGGTTGTTAGCAGTGAGTTAATGTGCAGATGTCAGGATAGGACACAGGATAGGAACATGAGGAATCATGTTGGTTTTCCTTGTTCATTTTTGCGTTGGGTTGCAGCTTCTTTTTTTTTTTTTTTTTTTTTTTTTCGTAATTTAGCATTGAAGGCCTGAAAACTTTATTTCATCAGCTGTGTTCCTGGTCTTCCGTTTTATCGAGGAAGTGAAGCAAGGGAAGCAGTGCAGGCATTCATTCTGCGGAAGAGCATCCAGGAAGACAGAGAAGAAGAGGTAGGTTTGGGAGTATCAAGCAATTGCAGGCAGCTGCGGCGGATGCGTTGTGCTGTGATTGGATCTCACTTTTCGTAGCAGCAGTGCTTCTGTGTGTGTGTGTGTGTGTGTGTGTGTGTGTGTGTGTGTGTGTGTGTGTGTATGTGTGTGTGTGTGTGTGTGCTGTCCGAAAATGTGGAAGAATGCACACACAGGCACACACACACACACACATAACTCGCGTCTGGTTAGCAATGACTCAGTTGTGGTTAGTGATTCATTTCTCAGCAGAAATATTTGAGGGGTATTTGTGCCGGGCGGTGTTGGCACTTTGCCAGGAGTTGATAGGGGGATTTACAACAAGCATGCAGTGTCTGTCTGTGTAAGCACACAGCATGCAGAAGGCTGTGTGGTGGGGCTGGGTTTGAACTGTCGATTATCTCACTGATCAAAAAGTGCGGCCAACAGCCTTGATTAGGAAAGGGGAAAAAAAAAAAGAAAGGAAAACGGCAGGAGCGGTGGTCTTATTGTTTCTTTTTTCTGTTTCTCATTGTTTGGCGTTAATCTACAAGTGGTCATGATGCTAGCTCATGAGATTCTTCTTAGGAGTGTACTGATTCTTCTTAGGAGCGTACTGACGCCCGGCTATACTCTGGGTAGGACTGTACCGACTCCCAGCTGTACTCTGGGTAGGAGTGTACTGACTCCCAGCTAAACTCTGGTGCCGAGACTGGGATATGGAATCTGTTAGTCCTAAATCCTGATATGAATAGATGGTTACTAACTTTTCACCTGTTTGCTCGCTTACCAGGTTGGCTGTGTTTTCTTTTTTTCCTTTTTTGATTTCCCTTTTTCCGTGTCGACAGGGCTCTTTTCACTTTTCTATCCTGATTTGAACTGGGCATGTTTTCGTTGTTTCTAGTGCTTGCTTAGTCGCTTGCTGGACATGTCGGCTTGCAGCGCAGCAGTCAATCGTGCATCTTGCTCTGTTGCTGTGGTCAGGTTTTCGTGCCACAAAGCCGCACAGTCCGCATGCAGGCATACTGACCCCTTACCATTGGATTGACTTGGGATTATTGAGTTAAGAGCGCTGGTGCAGCAAGCACCACAGCCATCAACAGTTAATCTCCTCGAAGAGACTGTTGCCCCGACTGTTCAATGAAATGCTTTTCATGTGCCTGAGATTCTTTCCTCTCTGTCTGCTTGTTTCCGCTACCTTTTTCCCTTTTCTCGTCTCACTCAACCGGTTGATCTCATTTTCGATTTAGAGAGCTGATGCGTCTGACCACCGCGTCCCTCGTTAGTTAGCCTTCTCTCTCTTGTCTTGCTGGTCGTCTTGCTGCCTCCGCCTGCTCGCTTCTTCGTTCAGGGCTTTGTCTTGCTGCAGCTTTTGCTTCCGGTTGCTGCCTTACTCCAGGCAGCACCTTGCATTCCTCCTGTCCTGCAGCCACGGTTCTGCGCCCGTCCTCGCCCGGTAGACACCTACTTGCGCCTGTGCTTTGGGAACATTTGTTCACTTCTTCTTCGCTGACTTGCGTCATCTTGATGCGTCTTTCTAGTTGTAAGCGTCTGGGAGATTTGATTTTCTTTCTTCGATTTTCATTGTTCGGTTCCGCCGTCGTGCTCCTCTTCTCTCGCTGTATGTCCTCTCCTTTTCTTCCATATAACCCGATGTGCTCTGTTCCTCTCAACTCCTTCCTAAGCTCCTGGTTCTCTTTCCCAACGTTGGGCCTTCAGTGCTGCTTCGGAGTAAGTTTTTCTTTTTGTTTTTAAATTGGTTGCTCGACTCTTCTGATCAGTTTCTGCTCGAAATGTTTTCTTGCAATTGTGGCTCTCACCTTTGACAGTTAGGGAGCCTCTCCTTCCTTTGCCTCTTAATCAATACATCTTTTGTTTGCCCTTCGCCGAGTCATTGTTATGATGATTATGCCGTCGTGCAATCAGGCTGGCCATTTCTGGACTGCCTGTTTTTTTGCTGGCATTGATGGTATTTGCTGCCATTTCTTCCCGTCATTGGCACAATTCCTGTGGCATAGCTTTCCTTTTGCTTGTTTTTCATGCCTTGGGCAGCCATTGGCTGTGCTGTTTGAAGATTTTTGATTTTCTGACTAATCTGTAGGCCGCCCACCTTCACAGGCCTGTGCGGCACTTCTGTTTGTCTGTTGTTTGCCCGGATTCCTATTCGCGCAGCTCAGAAATGTGCGAGCTTCTGGATGTTCATGGTGTGGTTATGGTTACCTTGCCGTCATCCAATGATGTGATATTTGTTGTTTATTCCATACCTGTGACAGTGGCCATTGATTTCATTGACGGGGGTTGTGTGGGCAGGGGTTTGCACGTTGCAAGTCTTTTGTTTTAATATCTTTTTTTTAGCAATAAAGGATGGTCGACAACTGGTAACAATCTAACTAACTAAGTCCGTCCGGCAGGTCGAAGAGTAAGGACGGAGATTTGTGGGTTGGCAAGTTCTTTCTCGGCAATAATAAACGGTTGTTGGCAATCGGTTGTTTGGCTAAGTTTCATGAAAGTGGAAGCTTTCGGCGTTGTTTATGCGTGAGTGAGCACCACGGAAATGGTGCGGTGAGGTAGTAGTATAGGCTTGTGGGTTGCGGACTGGGTAACTCGTGATCCCACATTCGCGGGATCAGTGTTTGGTATGTGTTCTTTTTGGTGTCTCCCAGTCTCGCAGTGTTCAGGTTGACTAGATGTGCAGTGGTGGGGCTGGGAGGAGGCAAGTTGAAGGTTAAGCGATCTCGAGAACGACGAGAAGGATGTAATGACGGTGGACTCCAGTGACTTCATGTACGAGTCAAAAGAAACTTCGGAATTTCAAAAAGAGGCTTGCTTGTCTGAAACGGATCGGCATGAGCAGTAAAAGACTGATTACTATCAACGACAGCACCGTGGCCAGTCATCCAGTTCTCGAAGTCAAGAGCAAGGACACATAGGCTTTCAAAGATGCTCGTCATCACTGTGTTTGCTGAGCGTTGCCCCCTTTTTGGTGTCTCCATGACCACATCCTCGTCGAATGCGCTTGATGAGACCCGTTGGGAGCACACGGATTGTGTGGTGCCGTGGTTAGCCTGCCTTGAAGACAGCCTCTCACGGTGAGTTGCAAGTTAATGCAAGCTTGTCGGCCAGCCATGTTCTGTATTGCTGTGGTAGAGAATGGTCTTGTGACGGTAGAATACATAATGGTAACACACACACACACACACACACACACACACACACACACACACACACACACACGCACGCACACGCACACGCACAGATATGTAATATGTATGTATGCGTAATCTGCAAGGCAGGCCACCTGTCCATGGCATCGGTGGCGACAGGCAGCGGGCCTCTCTTCGAGGTTCGAACCCATAGCCCTCTGCATACCCACCCACCAAAAAGTTATCAGTGTAGCATGAGGTTTGTGAATACACATTGCTGCTCATCTGTTCTTGCACCCTCTGCCGATTCAGGAGCCAAGGATTATACGTGGGCTGTTCAAGTCGATCCAATTTGTCTTCATTGTCGATTAGACTGCTGCGAAGGGCGATTCACATGGAGGGATCCTTCTTCCTTTCTCGATTGCCTGCATACAGTCTGCTACAGAACGGATAGTGCAGTTGGGGAGTTACTGGCGGCCTTCTGATCCGCTTTTATGTGATGATAATGATTTTTGTCCAGTTGCTGCTCTCTGTTGGTTCCTTCCAATAGTCCCATATTGCCTCGTCGTCGGTTTTGTAACGACGATTGCGATCCAGTTGTGGTATCCTTTTTCTTCTTTGTCACTTGGCTTGACGCACGATCTCTAGCTGCGCGTGTCTTTCTCGACAGGTAGTCAGACGTCTTGAGGACTGGTCTTCAGTTTCCCGTACACCACCCTCCCCTCCCTGTAAATATGCCCATCCCGCTTTCCATCTTACCATGACTGGCCCTCTATGAGGGGGTCAATTACTTGTGTTCTTGCCTCGTCGTCCAGAATGTATTGTTTGCCCCAGAGATGTCGACCAGTGTGCTGGAGCATTTTAATGTTACTGGTCTGGTCATTGTCCTCTAGTGCCAACTTCTCTGGTTCAGGGTTTCCTTGGGCGCCACACAGACAGACAGGTTCACAGGACAACGGTTGTGGCTGGGCTGGCAACTGAGGGTAACGTAATTTGTCGGAATGTTGCAGGTGGCGATTTGTAAGTAAGAATGTAAGCCGGAGGGGTAGGGCTGTGGTATGGAGTGGCATTGCGCGAAGGTGACGAGTGCATTGAATTTAACCGAGGCAGTCAATCAGCCCCCCCCCCGTGGGTCGTGGAACTGAAAGGTGATCATCGGTTGCAGAGAGTCAATCGGAAACGGTGTTTCAGTTTGACGAGGAACAGCAGTGAAGGGGACTCCAAGCTGAGGTTTAAAATCATATACTCTCGCAGTTAGTGGCTTTCTTCCTTGGCAGAGGCATCTCATTTTCCTCAGCTGGGTGCCGAAACGCAGCTTCACTTTAGAATATGTCTCAACAGGAGCAGCTGGTTGCAGACCCAAAACTTCAGTGGAGCATGTCTCATCCACCCTCCAATACTGCAAGGATGGGGGTTGGAGGTCGGGGCTGGCGCAGAATAGAGAGCCAAGCCAAATGGCGAAGGAGGTGGTGGACCCAGGCAACGATGGTTTTCATGCGTCTATCAATCAGGGTCTTGGATCTGGAGTTGGAGTTTGCCTGGGTTGGAACGAGGAACAGGGAAATGTTACAAATGTGTATGTGACTGGCGACTTGTAATGACATCTCAGCGCCGGCATGGAAGACGACCTGATAACAAAGAAGAGCCTTCTTCCAGCGTAATGGTGGCTCGGAGTTGTCATTGTTTGCGTGCCGAGAGTGGAGTAGAGGCTACGGTGTCTTCACTATTGAAAAAATGAATGATCGGCAGAATCTAGACCAACCAGGCAGAGACTTGAAGCTTCTTTAATGCGCATTGCAGCCTGGTGCTTGGATGAAACTTTGCAGAAAAAGAGGCAGAGCGAAAATGTGGTTTCCTGGGAGATTTTGAAGCGTCAGGGGCCCGATAGGAGTGGTACTGCCGCTATTGTTATGGTCAATTTACCATTTCTTAATGGCCGGTCCCATCCTGTCTTTTAGGAAAAGGGATGCTGGTCGTTTAATTGTGCAAGGAAGGACCTGGAAAATGTCAACGAGTGTCTGTATGGCTTTGAAGCTGTTTGTATTGGCAGGTCTGATGTCATCTGCAACCAGGTTCAGCAGGTTCATTTGGGGAGGTTTGGAGTTCGAGAGAGGAAGATGCGGGAGGGTAGGGTTTTCTTGCTCTCTCTCTCTCTCTCTCTCTCTCTCTCTCTCTCTCTCTCTCTCTCTCTCTCTCTCTCTNCTGAGCAAGCACCCGCTTTCATCTTCCATCAGATCGAACGGTGCTGAGCACTTTGTCCGTTGTTACGCCACCATCTGCGTAAGATCCTAATCTCACTGAGCATGATGGGTCTCAGATCGTGGGAGTAAGAGTTCACTGAGAAACTTGAGCAGCCTGAGCTCTCTCTCTCTCTCTCTCTCTCTCTCTCTCTCTCTCTCTCTCTCTCTCGCACACACACACACACACACACACACACACACACGCACACACACACACACACACACACACACACACACACACACACACAGAGGCAGCAGACAGGTGTGTGGGCACTTGGCGCTGAACCACACAAACGTGGCCAACCTTGCATTTTCTATGAAATTGCCTATCTAAACTTTTTCGTTATGGATGGCTTGTGATGATTTGTGAAGGGAATGAGATAGAGAATCTGGGGTCTCTTAAAACAACACACATTCCGGTCTTGCTAGCTCTCTGTCTTGGCAGATTTGAGCGGCTAGTATCGGGCTCGTACTAGTGAGCTATTCTCTCTTTTTGTGGTTGGATATGTCTTGTTGGTTTTGTTGATTCTACACGGCCTAATTCAGAAAGCAATTCTTTGCCCGGCTTTAGAGCATGGGCTGTTTGGATGTTTACGGGTGGCCATTGAGTTCTCTTTGGGGGGACTGTATGTTTTGTGGGCCGGCTTGGAAGGCTTTCCCAGTTTTTTTCGGTCGCTTAGCAGGGGTGGTCGGTGCGTTCTTGTTGGAGTAGTCTTCTGTCTTAGGTAGGTTGTCTCTCATCTTCTTCCTCCTCTTTGGCAGTGACGCGAGTGTGTAGTTTGAGATGAATGTCGGGAATGCCAATGCTGTTGTGTTTCTTTGTTCTTGGTAAATGAGTTTTTGGTTTTGTGGGCCCATGCGGAAGGCTCTCCAAGTTTGTTCGGACCTTTTAGGGGGTCGGGTTGGTGCCTTCTTGGTGGAGTAGTCTTCCATCTTAGGTAAGTTGCCTTCTGCCCTCCATCCCCTTATGGTTTGAAATATATATATGTATACATATGTATATGCGCAAGTGTGCCGCTTCGGCAGGAGACAGGTGTGTGGGCACTTGGCGCTGAAGCACACAAACATGGCCAACCGTGCATTTGCTATTATATTGTCTATCTAAACATTTTCGTTATGGATGGCTTGTGATGATTTGTGAAGGGAATGAGAGAGAGAGTCTGGGGTCTTTTAAAACAACACACACACACACACACACACAACACAGACATGCGAAAGCACACATGATACTTCTTGAGGAGATTTGTACTGCTGAGCCCATTCCCTCTTGCAACCTACTGATTCCCTTCTCTCTTGCACACTCTACCACAACTGATTCCCTTCTCTCTTGCACTTTCTGCCACAAACGCACATGAGCAATGCATGCGCACAAGTAAGTGCAGAGCTCTTGGAGGTTCTTTCCAAGGCCTGCAAAGATAACCACTTGAATCAGCGGACACACACGCACACGGAGGGGGGAGGGGGGAGAGAGAGAGAGAGAGAGAGAGAGAGAGAGAGAGAGGAGGAGGGGGGGGGGGGGGGGGGGGGGGGGGGGGGGGGCGTGTAGGTCGTCCTGGAAATTTGGATCATCACTGTTTTTTCATCTGCATTGAATAAGACTGCCTTATCTGTTTTGGCAATAATGAAGTTGGTGATTCGAGTAGGGGGCATGGGGCCCTTTGGGCCACGTTACACAGGCTCTGAATGGTTTTCATGGGAGCACGGTGGCTCGAAGTTGGGGAGGGATTTGGAAAACTGTTAAGCAATAACAGAGCACGTTCAGCATAAGTGCTTGTCGGTCATATAGTTCCTCCATCTTCTGAGTTTGCAGGAAGCTGTTGACAGTATGAAGTTGGGACTTGAGAAAAACGTATGCATGAATCTCGAGTTTTGTTTTCAATATTGGTGCCATCGACACAGCCTGTCCATTGTGCGCACCTCACTTGCGGTTTTCCAGAGCGATGCGGGAAAAACCTACCTACGTATTCTTCACTTCCGAGAGCACCACTGCCTCTTCATGACTTAAGGTTCTGGGGACCACCACTTGTTTCTGACTGGCCTGCATTTGTGTGGAGATGACTCGCCATGCTGCGATGTGAGGCTTTGCCAAAAGTCGTGATGTGCTCGTCTTTTGGAAGCTGAGGGGCCCACTATGTGCACGGGACCACCACTTTTTCCTGAGTGGCACATCACGTGGGCCTCTCGAGAAAAACTGCAGGGCTGACTGATTGCCATTCACGTAGGACACTTCGGTGCTCGAGCTCCCAAGCTCTCTGGCTGACCTATGCCAGTCGGATAAGTGCGAAAAGTAAGGAGTTAGGGTGAGTGCAGTAGGGGTTTTATGGGGGCCCAACGGCACGTGTGTCCCGGATGGATGCCACGTGTATGGTTCCTCGTGTGCACGAGGTGCAGCAGCACAACCACGGTCTTCTCTCAACGATCTGCGTTCTTGACATTTCTGTTGATGAATGGTACAATACTAACGATGTCTTCTTGTGTAATCGGCGTCGTACTAATCACCAGTACGGAGAAATCATTTTATGATTCTCTGTATATTGCGACTTACCTCCTCTGGTTTTAGAAGATGGCTAAACGAAAGGGAAGGGATGCATTCATTCTTGTGATTGCTGGCTGTCACATGGCATAGACTGTAAGTCTGGCGTCTGGAGTTGATTGTGTCCATAAGGAGCAGCTAGTTTTAGTCCCAGTAGTAGCCTCTGGGAGCAGCAAAATAACACCATGGAAGCAGCACACACAAAGGAAGGGAGTAGCGGTAAGTGAGGCCTTCTTGCCTGCCTGCCTTAGCTTGCTCATGATGAGCTTTGGGACTCGCAGCTCAAATGTAGGGTTGCTTCCTTGGCTCTGGCACAATTGCATGTGTGGAGTCGCTGACTCGATTGCATGCAACAACATGGTACGTATTCATCTTATGTTTTCAGTTGTACATGTGAATTTGAAGCGATCATTTTAAAAACTGTCCGCCACTGGGTAGAGGAGGGGGGCAGAGGTAAAGGGTGGGCGGGGAAGCCAGAGGATTGTTTGAAGTGTCACGGTATTATTATCTTGGCGCTGAGTCCCATGTCTAGGGGTTCAGCTGTATTTTACTCAGTAGCACGGGAATATGGTAGCCCTCCAAGCGCGTAATCGTACCTGGAGGAGTAAGTATGTGTCCAGCTTTGTTTTGGGAGAAAGCCTGGGGGTCAAGTTTGCAGTGTCACGATGTTCTTGGAGCTGAGGCCCGTGTCTAGGTGTTCAGCCCTAGACACAGGTGTGTAGTTCTTGATGAACTACACACCTGTGTCTAGGGCTGAACACCTAGACACGGGCCTCAGCTCCAAGAACATCGTGACACTGCAAACTTGACCCCCAGGCTTTCTTCCAAAATAAAGCTGGACATGAACTACACACCTGTGTCTAGGGCTGAACACCTAGACACGGGCCTCAGCTCCAAGAACATCGTGACATTGCAAACTTGACCCCCAGGCTTTCTCCCAAAACAAAGCTGGACACATACTTACTCCTCGAGGTACGATTACGCGCTTGGAGGGCTACCATATTCCCGTTCTACGAAGTAAAATACAGCTGAACCCCTAGACATGGAACTCAGCTCCAAGATAATAATACCCGGACACTTCAAACAATCCTCTCGCTTCCCCGCCCACCCTTAACCCACCCCCCTTTCAGCCGGCGGGGGTACTGGTGATTTAAACCACCAGTCCCCCCGCCGGCCAAAAATGAGCATTTCGGGGAGTCAGGGCCGCATATGGCGGGGGGAGCCGACCGACAGGCAACCAGCAGGTCTAGTCACCCACTTTTCAAGCACCGACTTTGGCGATTTTTCGCGCCCTGAATAATCCACAGAAAAATCTGAAATTTTGGGATCCGGTAGATTTTTTTTTTTTTTTTTTTTTTTTTTCCCCCCCAAACAACAGCCCGTATGGGAGATAGGGGCGCAGGTACGAGCAGACGCCTCTATCTCCCCCGGGGAGGCTCCATCTATTGGTGGGGAGCAACACCTGCTGGAAATCGGGTCCAGCGTCCCTTACACAACAACCATTTCAATCACGCTGAGATGTTCTGACTGTCTTCCAACCTGCCACGGGACGGAACGAGCAGGCTCAAATAGGAAGGAAAAGGGGCCTCTTCAGCCCTGCTGCTGGGCGTCCAAACTGTGAGACCAACTAGCTCCCGTGTCTTTGCTATAACTCTCTCCCCCTCACTCTGCTCCATACCACTGGAGATCCACCATTGACAGACCATGGAGGGGAAAGGGGTCAGGGAAGTCCAAGGGGGAGTGCAGCGGTATTGCTGCATCCACCTTAGTCCAGTCCTGAAAATAGATGATATAGTCTCGTCTCATATTGTCCTCTCCGCATTCTAGGAGACTGCCTCCTTCCCAACGAACAGAAGCCATTCTGCCCCCCCTTGAGAATTTCTTGATGGCCTGCGTTATGTATTTTTTGGTATGAATTCGATCCAGTTTAGATTTCACTGTTTGCAATTGTATTGTGAGTTCCTCCTGAACGTGTTGTTTAAATAGCTCGGTCGTTTCCGCACCCTCTATTCGTACTTTCTCAATAGATAATATACACCGCTTCCTCCAAAGTGCCCAAATAACGGCTCTCCTCCCGATCTTGAACAAAGTTTTCTACAAAAGTGTTGTTCGTAGGGGAGAACCATGTTTCACACAGAAGGGTTCTCCAGTCCCACAGCCACTCAGAGTCTGCACCCAGCAACCTCCAAATCTGATGCCACCAGCACCAGGAAAGGACCGCCCCTGGACATTGCAGAAAAA